CAAAAAAATCCTTAGTTAATTAATTTTCATTATAGACAGCTTTATAAAAGTAAAAATACAGAAAATATTGCGAAGTAGTCCAAAACCATACGATACGGCCGTGTACGTGGATTGTAAGTGCCCCCTGGTGGTCTGAATTGGTTTCAGGCTCTATGCCTTCATAAAGGACGTACTTTTCCTTTGTTTAAGGGTATTTGGGCAGTTTATTCTCTGTTGTATTCTCAAGTAAACAATACATACAAGTACAGTACAGTATTTTCTGAGGAAACACTCATACTTATTTTTTTAACCCCATTCCTGATAACCCGGCATTTTCACAAACTCAGCCACCCTTCGGTCCAAATTAGGCAGAGTTTTCGAGACTCTACTGTAATAATAATTAGATAAATCAATAAATGGTTTATTAGTGCACAATTGTTATTATCCAAAAGCACCAATTTTAAACGAATAAGAATTTATAATGTCATTGCCCAGACCAATCTGCTGCCGAAAACATAACGTTAATGTTTAATCAGTTTTAGCCAGTTCACATTTAACAACATGCAATTGGCTAAAACTAGCTAAGTAGTGTTAATCAGTGTCTCTTCACCCAAATACCAGTAATTTAATTTATCGATTTTGAAATCATTTGACAGAAATTTTTAAACTGTTGCAAATATTTCTGTAAAATGTGGAAAAGGTCTATACAAAGATATGTAACTATGTAATTTGTGTTTTTAATGCTCAGTATATTCTTATGTCCTGGCAAGTACAGGTCTCTTCATCCAAGCACTACCATGTACTATACACATCAACTAGTTAAATTATAAAAATGTGTACAGTAAACTCCCATATAACATGCTCCTCTATAATGCAACAAAAATTTGTGACTGGTACTCATACAATGCCATAAACAGTAAAGCTAATAGTTATAAAAGTTATAATGGTTTATAAAAAATAATAATATGCACATTTAAACTTGCATAAAATCTTCTAAATTCAATTGTCTTCTTCAAATTCTATAGTTCTAGAACTAAACAAGTAAATTTACAAGTAAACAAGTAACTGTCACTGCCAAGTGCTGATGGTATAAGATTCTCCTAACAAACCCCAGCTTTATAATCTCTCTTTGACCTTTGTCAATGAGATATATGTCATATACATATTCAATATTTTAAATCATTTATATTTTAACCCTTATGCAAGAAATGAATAATAAAGAAATTGACAATATATATACTGTAGAAATTTAATTCTCAGTAAAACAATTGTTCTGAAGTAGAATTACCCTATAGATCACTAAAATATCACCGTGAACCCCCAATTTGGTACTTTTTCTGTGGACCCCTAGTAATGTTACAGGAAGCCCGAATGAGAACCACTGGCCTACACCTATCTATTTCCACAAAAACAACAGTCACAACACAATTCCATTTTCCCTTTTATTTGGCCTCATTTCCAGTACATACTACCACACATCAGCACACCATATTATTTACTCATCTACTTCCAAAAAGAATCAGTCCAAAGTGCAATGGGTCACATTGTTCATCACTTTTCAGGCAGACTTTAGGCCCATACGGACTCAGCAATCTGCCACCCCTCCGTGCAAGGAACAGCCAGATTGGCAAGAGTAGAGTGGTGATTCCCAAAGTGGGCACTCTCACTCAGAGGCCAGCAAGCAAATCTAGGGTAGCAAAAAGATGCAAGAATACCCCAGCTTCTTTTTGTTCCCAGCAGGGGCACCAGTGGCAGGACTGGACGAATTCAGGTCACCAATCTTTCCCTTTTCTCCATTAAAACGGACAAGAAACATTTCATTCAATGGTTTCCAAACATCGACGACGTAGAGTAAGGACACAAAATGTGAGGTAGGTCAGAAAAGCTTTTCTGAGAATATTTCCAAGCTTTTCTCTCACAGAAGGGAAATGGGTCGGGAGCGTCGGGTGTAAGTTTACGGAACAGGGAGTGTGGAGGTCGGAAGACAGTCCAGAAATCACCTCTCCAGAACGTAAAAATTGGAGAAGCAATTCTATGAGTCGCCTCACACTTCAGACACCCACCGCTCGGTACCAAGGACATTCGGATCCAGCAAGACATGTAATTCCTTAATACATTTTTATAAGTTGTGAAAAACAAAAGCATATTTCTTATTACAGATCAAGGTCGACAACATCTAAAGGCAGATGGCAGCAGATTGACGGGCACAAGTTTGGCAAAGGCGTGTTTTACAAACAATGCAAGAAGATTTATGCAATTGTTTTCATTTCTCGAGACGTAGATACACATAAATAAACAGTATTAAGAAAGATAAGAAAGTTGGCAGTCCTCTACACAATAAATAGAATGCGAGTAATTCCTAACATATTGTCGTTTATAGCGTTTGACTTATCGATACTTCGCGGTAAATATTCATTACATCGAGGTTAGATCTTGCGCGTGCAACGTTAAATCACCTTATCATGGCGAATTACGCGACATTTACAATATTTTTTACCTCTTTGTTGATGATGGTGGCATTGCTGAGGGATCTCAACGCCGAAGTAATTTTCCTTCCTAAATCCGCTAAAACCATCTTGAATTTATCTCTTAATTAGTCCGAATAACGATAAAAATACAGAAAATATTGCGAAGTAGTCCAAAACCATACGATACGGCCGTGTACGTGGATTGTAAGTGCCCCCTGGTGGTCTGAATTGGTTTCGTGCATTTTATTTATTTTATTATTATTTTTGTCAATTTTATTTATTTATTTATATTAAATAAAATGTCTATTATTTTTAAATTGTTTATAGAAGTGAAAGACAAAAAAGTAGGTTATAAAAATTTATTGACTTATTAACTCTAGCAAACTGCACATTAAGTGCTATATGTTTTTGTTTGTCTGACCCCTTACAGTTTTTCCCTACTCCTTTGATCCTGTAGGGATTAGAAAATGTTTTCACAAGTTCATTGTGGGTTCGGCCAGGTCCGGGACAGATAGTGAAGAACGGACCACACCCGAAAAATTCCTGGGATTTTTCGACCGGTCCGGTTTCCGGCCCTCCAGAGCGAATGGTAGACTGACATCTTAACTTTTTGACCATTCAGGCGTTCAGCGTGGATAAACAAGGATCCTTCTTCTACATGATAAACTTCCGTTCGAACCTATAATCAATTTCATATTGCGACAGAGTCCAGATATAAGAGATGGAAGCACTCTCTTAAAACAGAATCGAATTCAAATCATTTTAACGGACGACCCACACGCTTCATTGTTTCCATTGAGCTGGAAAAAGCGTCAGCCTTTGCCGTCCGATCATTTCTTAGACCAAGTTGAAATCAAAAGCTCCAGGAAATTTTTCGGGCGTGGTCTGTCCGGATATATCGGTTAAAAACAAAAAAAAAAAAAAAATTCCGCGAGTTATAATAATCTGTGACATATAATAATCTTATACATCTCGAATTACACACATGATAATATTTAAGTTACCATATTAGAATCATACTAATGATTTCAACTATACATCATTCAAAAAGTTCTTCCCCGAAAGGAGTTAGATAACGACCGACAGAAGCCAGTTGATTATTATATTTACAGTATGAAAAATTATATTTTTTTAGAGCACTATCGGCCGCCAGCGTGCATGTACGCACTGCATACCTACCAAAACCGGCCCCGAGTCGTTCCAAGCGTGACTTTGTCGGCCTCCCATCCATCTTTCCTATGTGTTATATGGCCCAACCTTTGGCCCAAGCTTGGTTAGATATGTTGAAATCCGGTCGTGTTAGAAATAATTGGCTATTAAGATCCTAAAACGCGTCGTGAACAAAATAGTGTCAATTTCTTACCGAAATAATATATTGTGTAAGAGATATGGTACATTGCAGTGCATTTTCTTACATTTTTAACAGATTCCGAAATGATTTCTGCTCCAACGAAACTTTTATCTTCGTCGTTTTTCGTTTCCTGGATTTGAATTTCGTTTGTCAAATTTTCAGTTTTATTCTTTGTTAGTTCTTTGTTTTCTTCCTCGCTTTCTTCTGTAAAACAAAGTTAATCTTATTGTTAAAAAATTTCTCTTGAAATTTCTATTGAATCTATAAACTGCTATATCAAACACGTTAAAATATAATTGAGATTGGGTTTGACAATGTATTGAAACTTGTCAGAACTGTGCTTTATGCCTAACAACATAATATTATTATTTTTAAAGTAAACTATTCTGGAAATTTGAGAATTCTTCGCATATTAAAACAATGTTTAGTTATAATACAAATGAAGAAAAGCATCAAATAGATTACCTTCTTTACATTTTATCACTCGAATAGTTTCCTCGCCATTGCCAGGTGTTATCATTTTATCTTTGTTTGATGGATCGCATGTTTCAATATTTACATCAATTGTTGATTTAAATACATCACCAACGCACTTTTCGTTGACTATATAATTTGATACGTCAATTTCAGTATTGACCTCATCAGATATTTCATTGGAATGAATGTCATTATCATCTTCACTTATTGTAATACTTGTTTCTAATTCATCGCTTTCGGATAGTTCGGATAGTTCTCCTTCGATATAATAAAATTCCTCTTCCTCGTATATTACTTCTCTGACTAACGAAGTTTCTTCTAAATATCTAAAAGCACGTTTCAGAGGTCTTTCGTAGAACTCGTCATTTATCCATGCAGGAGATATATTCTGGAGATCGGAATTTGTTGGAAACTGAAATTCAATTTTGAAATATTTAGTTAATTCCCACATTCGATTCAAACAGTATTCAGTAATTAATTTATTCAATGACATTTAAAAATATTTTCTCATACATTTGGCCAATTTATACAATGTGTACTGCTATTACAATGTTGTATTTATCAAGCGATATAAATATTAAGAAATTTGTCGAAAAAATAATCTAATTATATATGTAAACTTACAGCGATAGAAACTTCGTCGAAATCGAAATCTTCCGAAATTACGTCAATTGTGGTGTCTCCTGTTACGTTCACTGTTGTTTCAGTTTGTTTCACTTGCTCCAGGTTATCTTCGGTATTGAAAGATGCAGAATTATTCGCATCAGAATCATTTGTACACGAAATTTCGGGTTCTGATTCCAGTTCTAAAGTATAACAATGATACGGAAAAAAAGAATATTCACTAAATTTTATTTCTGAGCAATACAAAATGTTAAAAACAAATAAATTTATTTTATATTAAATACTTTAACATAAAGAAAATAGTCCGTTTTTAGCGTTGATTTCAGAGTTTATTTTACTCGAACTCGTATTGAGAGAGATCTATAAAATTTTATTATTATATTTTATGAATAAACATTTTGATTAGCCAGAGTTGTGGACACCCCACACAGCAGTTACGTGGTCGTGGACCTCATATCTGGCTGTGTTTGATGAATCACGTTTATTTATATACTTGATATTATATAAATAGTTTTCTAGGGGGTTTTATAATTAAACTTTTATTGTACAGGATCTAGATGGACTATTGGCTGTAAGATACGGCTTTTATTTCATTAGCCCTACGAACAGTTATTTTAAAAATATAACTGTTAATAGGTATGTAATCATTAATATATTTGTTTGTGTTTTATGTATTTTATTATTAATATACCGGTAAGTTTAATGGAATTTACCATTATTATGTGGATGCGTAGAAATTGATAAATCTTCAGAAGTTCCTAATGAGGAATGTATGTCCGGTTCTTTATTAGTTATTGTATCCGGAACGAAAATTTCATGTTCGGACACTTCTTTCTGCACCTCACATTCCGTCGCCTCACACTTCAGACACCCACCGCTCGGTACCAAGGACATTCGGATCCAGCAAGACATGTAATTCCTTAATACATTTTTATAAGTTGTGAAAAACAAAAGCATATTTCNGGCTACAGGATACTCCGATTCATTTGTTCTCATTTGAAACGGACGAAATTCATTTTCGTCCATATCTGCCAGTGGCCAAAATTCTGATGTATTTGTGGCCACATCATATTGCTGCACTTCTTGGAAATGTTCATTTGAAACCACTTCCTCCTGTGACCAATAATTTGACGTTTGAAATCTTTGTAATGGCGGTCCGTATAAACCGTCTTGACTTGGATATCCATAAGCAAGCGGATTAGAGACTTGCTGATATGGAAAAAATGGTGAATATAGTCCATATTCTCCTTGTGGTATGAAATACTAAAGTATAAAACAAAATTGATTAGTTATAAAAATATCAAGTATTGATATTATTTTTAATTTCTAATTTAAGCAATCTTAACATCACTTGTATGATTTATTTTNTTCGATTTTTGGAGACTGTCTGTACGCGGGCTTCCTAAACAAGCCTATATGTATGTTTGTCCGAAAAATTTTTGGACGAAATACAAACCGCACAACTTCAAAATCGCATAAAAATAATCCGCATAAAAAGAGACCTTACAGTATAGATATGCTTCAAATGCTACCACTCTTATACGACTCATATTGATCAACGCGAGTGTGGTCATGTGCGGAAGGAGAACAAGTCGAAGTTTGTTCGGCGGCTCTATCTCATAAACTCATAAGTTATAAGGCTGCGGTGAAATGAGGTGAAATGAAATTAGAGTTTATGTCCGAAGAGCCGCAAACGTCTATGCAAAGAGCCGCATGCGGCTCGCGAGCTGCTAATTCCGACCCCTGGTCTATTCTATCTTAGAAATGTCGGGCTCCGTCCCTCATCACCCAACCGTTCACATTGAGAGCCTGGCCGAATTAAAAGTTGAGTTTAAAAGGTCATCTTAGTGCTAAAAGGACGGAAATAGTCCATATCCTTTCATTCACTGAAAAATTAAATCCTTCGTTACCTTCCCCTTTTAGAAAACATTTTCTGCTTATAAATCCGAAAACGTTTGCTAAAATGGACAGGATTCAGTGCGAAAAGAGTTTAAGAACTTTTTCCGCCGGAGCACTAAGAGAGCCTTTTGTGGCAAGCCCATTAAAGGTTCAGCCAGGCCCACAATGGAGCGTTGGGTGATGAGAGGCGAAGCCCGACATATCCAAACGGTCCGCTTTCCGTAGGCTGCCCCCTTAACTGTTCGGCCATCCGGTCGTTCATTAACTTTTGTACGTAGTGTATATAAAAATACATCGTAAGAACAATTACCGCAAACAACAAAAACAAAGTAACATTTTCAAATTTTAATTTACGTCATTCAGCGAAATTTAAAATCGTCGAGAACGCCAAAAATATTTAATTCGGACAATTTATTAATTAAAATATCTAATTTTATTAATTAATAGAATTCTCAAAAGGCACAGTAAATAGTCAAAAATTTTCGCCCAAACGACAATTTGGGAAGTACAGTATTATCGGATCCGGCAACACTTATAGAAAAATTTCTCGTCACGTGACAAAATCTCGTCTCGCGAAAAAAGGTATTTTGAGAGAAAGCGTGGATATTGTTTTATCGTTTGGTCGAAATCATGGTGAGTTAATCGTAATTATTGTTTGTAGACGGTTCTCGAATATCGACCGGCCTCCTATTAAACATTTTATGTCTTAATATAATCGGGAATAGACGCTTGGTCGCGATCCTCGCTCTTCTGTTGCTTAATTGTATGGCGTGTACCGAAGTATCTGCATTTTCTTTGGTCCTGGAAATAGATGAAATTTCTGATGACGTATTCTTATACGTATGTTAAAACGTGTAATAAGCCTCTGTGAATTGTTAAATGAGTATTTTACGTTGGCGTTTACGTAAGAGATCTATATTTATAATTAGCGTCGTTTTCGAGTGATCGGTTTTGCTGTGAAGGTCTTCAATTTCATTTTGCCACCCACAAAGAAAAGCACATCAACCCGTTAAAGTTGGAAAATCTTTAGTATTGGGAATGTGTCTTTGTAGAACCTTACGTAAAATAAACAATTATTTACTGTGATGTCTTCGCTGTGCTGGACTGCAATTTGGCCCGGTGGTTGCCGGGCGGACAGGCCAAACACTGGAGTTTTTTGTGTTGGTAATACCTAAATAGGGGTCGGTCTCCCGGGAGGTAGACTGTCCGCATGTCGTGTTGCCGTGTATGAATAAACCAAACTGTGCTGCAGTTTTTAATCGTATTGTATGTGACTCCAATCTGGATAGAAATTTGTGTACGGTTAATTGAAGCCTTCGGCCCTTAAGCTGTCCTTATCTGGTCTTGATTTTCATCTGTCTAACTCTGATCTTGAGATTAAGAATGGATGAATGCACGACAGTGTGGATATGTAGGTCTGCAGTTCGAAAACTGCAGCCAGAAAGAACTTGCATATAATTACCAAGGTTGATACAAGTTTGAACAAAATACATAATTGAGAGACGGTGCGTTTGGTTAAGAGCGATTCTGTATGACTTGTATCTGGTTATTGTATAATTCGATGGCTGAGAACAAAAACCGAAGAAGTCTGTGTTCGACACAAAGTGTAGTTTTGAGTCTATAGTGTGCCGGTAAGTGATTCCCAGATTTGAAATGAGTTGCATCCTGCCCAAATCTATATATATATTTTGTGCAGGTCGGATTGTATCTGGGGGAAAAAAGAGTGCAGTCTTTTTTCCCCCAGACTTAAAACTTGTTCAAATACTTAGTGTGGGATGTGCAAAACTTGTATTACTTATTGACATTGGCAGAAGAGCAAGCTGGCACAAGTGAGGAGAAAGATGATGCTTAAATGTTAATATTTGGTACTGTACATAATATACAATAAAGCACTTGCTCAAAAATAGTCCTTAAAATAATACATAAAAAAAACCAAAAGGTTCTTGTTAAACAGATCTGAAAATGAAAGTGGTCCATGGGCTTTAAATTATTGTTTTCCTGTACCTGTACAGTAATTGAAAATTTTCTTTGTTGGGATGCATAGGGGAATGGTGTGATAATCCTATGACAATAACCAAGCATTACCTTTCTGTAAAATTTTTATTTTTGAACTTACAAGTGCGTTTTTTTTCAAGCTCTGATGGTCCATAAAACAAAGACAAGTGTAAATAACAAAATGAATTTATTACCAAAAGTTAGGTACAAACATTGTTATTTTTCGACATAATCACTGTGAAGATTGAGACATTTGTCATATCTGTGGACGAGCTTTTCCATTCCCTTGTCATAGAATGGTGCCGCCAGTGAATTGAGATGGCCTTAACAACGTTGTTTTGAAGATCGTCATTAAATTCATTAGTGTCAAACTACTGCCCTGCTAGCCACGTTTTCAGTTCTGGAAAGAAGTCTTCAACACCTTTAAACACCCAGCGTATGGCCCCAATTTAGCTCCGAACAACTTCCACCTCTTTCCTGAACAGGAAAAGTGGCTATGAGGGCAGAGGTTCAAGACTAATGACGATCTTCAAAATAATGTTGTTAAGGCCATCTCATTTCACTGATGGCAACATTCTATAACAAGGGAATGGAAAAGCTTGTCCACAGATATAACAAATTCCTCAAACTTCACAGTGATTATGTTGAAAAGTAACCATGTCTGTACCTAACTTTTGGTAATAAATTCATTTTGTTATTTACACTTGTCTTTTTTTTATGGACCATCGGAGCTTGAAAAACAGCCTACGTATAAAAGTATTTGGGTAAATGCCCGGAGATTCTTTTAGAGTTCAGAGTAGGATACCCGTATGAGCACCTCTGCCCCATAAAATGACTTGGTATTTAATTTTATCGGAGTCGGCTTACTAAAATTATTAGGAGTCGGAGCCAAGTGTTTTTTTACCAACTCTGCAGCCCTGGTTTCTACAAGGACAAGGTGTAGTTGGAGACCCTTTTCATGATAATTTTATTTGATGTACCCTATGTTCTTCCAAGCTTGTGACCTGAAGTAAAATGTCATCTATTGATTATATTTTACTTCATCTATTGAAAGTATTAATAGATCACCAATACTTGCCAGAATTCCTTGTTAGATACCCCGAAATGTGAAGCATTTTGAATGTTGCTAGCTTTTTGATAGTTTTAAATGGATAATGGCAGCAAATTATCTGTTTAGATCTGAATGGTCTATTTAGGTACATTGTTTTTCTGTTGAGTTTGAACCATCAGCAGCAATTAGCCCATTGGTTACATCACATGTTCGATAACCTTTCCCTAATGTACCGTATTATCCAGAGCTCAGCTTGATTTTTTCAGCAGCACAGTGAATTTTAGGTTCTTCATGAAGTCAATATCATAAACATAATTTTGTACTTTGCTCAGACTTTTAAGTACATACTATGATATCTTTGTGATGCTTAACATATGAATTTGCTGAAGTGGGTAGCATATCAATATGTGCATTCTTGCATAGTATTGGACTCTGACTAGAAACCTAACTCTAAGATGTATTTTGCAGTTTACATAAAGCTCACTATTCCTCTTTATTAAAGTAGTATATTTTTCCTTTATATACAGAGGGCTGGGGGATTTTCTCTAAGTTCAGAGAAAACTTAGGGCCCTATAGGCTAATGGTTCCTACTCTTATAAATTAATGTTATTTTTACTAACAAAAATAAAATCTTTAACACTGCTATTTGTAAATAAAGAAACATTCTAATTACTTTATTTGTTCAAAAAAGACAAAAGAGATCCACTCTCATACTGGCCCTGCTTATATGTATATAATATTCCTGAAGATATAGCATTTGAATATGTGGAACAAGTTGGGTTTAATGTGTTGGAATTTATTAAATTATTATTGCAATTATAGCCAGTGCACATTGAGTAGTTTACATCCAAGTTATGAGTACATCTTCAGTTTTAAAACAAGAGAACAACATATAGATGGCATAGAAAATTGCTATACCTTTTAAAATATAGCAAGTAGATACTGCTATGTAAGACAGATGTACAACAGGAGCAGCCTATAAACTAAAAGGATCTCAATACAGCATGTACCTTATCTGCAGCATGGAGAGCCTGGTACAAGTTATGATCTGTATTGCTGGGATGGTATTTTTTTTTATTTTGTGTAACCTATAGGTCACTTGAAAATGACTAAAAATATTAGTGATTAAAAGCTTGCTGCCTATGAAAGTTATTTTGCGGGTTTAAAATGTAGAATAATAAAATCAATGTAGGCGAAAGGGGCTTTTACCTTCACACTCAGATTCCCTAGTATGTTTGCACATTTCTGTTCCTATATTTGGGCTTACGAATGTCAGTCAGGATATAACTGCTGGTCAAGTGGCTAACATCAATTCAATTTGCTCTGTAATGACTGTCAATGTAACCATGGTTGCACAATCATTATAAAGAAAATTGAATTAGAGTGGTGATGGCTTCAGACGAAACAAGTGAATAGGAGGCGTGTCCGGAAAGTAAGTACCGTTTTGTTTTACCGCCACCACAGTGGTAGTATCGCAGTTCAGCATCTCATACACTTGTCTCTGGTTGATTGTCAGTCCAGTGACGCCATTAGAGCCAGATTGTGTTGTTTTTTCCATGTCTTAGTGAGCGTTCAAAATGTTTAAGACGATTGCCAATCCTGCCAACTGTGAAGTGCGTTCTGTAATATGGTTTTTGAACGCAAAGAATGTTAAGCCAGTTGAAATTCATCGTCAACTTGTAGAGATTTATGGTGAAAATGTAATGAGTGATGGAATGGTGAGAAAGTGGGTTCGACAATTCAATGCTGGACGCACCAATGTTTATGATGAAGCACGGAGTGGCCGGCCTTCTGTTGTCAATGATGGTTTGGTTGCAAAAGTGAATGAGAAAATTCTTGAAAACAGGCGGTTCACAATAAGATTGCTTTGTGATGAGTTTCCACAAATTTCAAAAACTGTTTTGCATGAGATTGTCACAAATCAATGTTCAGCAGTGACTGTCTTCACTGGCGGCATCTTTCTTTGAAGAGGGTATAGACAAGTTGGTTTCCCAATATGACAAATGTCTGAACAATAGTGGTAACTATGTAGAAAAATAGTTTCCAACATGCTCTTTCATGTAAAAATAAATTTTGTTTTGAAAAAAGATTTTTTATGCGAGTTTTTCCAAAACGGTACTTACTTTCCGGACACGCCTCATACAAAATATTTATTTAATGAAATCAGTGACCATCGTGTAGAATAGAATAGCATAATGAGTTTCCACAAATTTCAAAAACTGTTTTGCATGAGATTGTCACAAATCAATGTTCAGCAGTGGCTGTCTTCACTGGCGGCATCTTTCTTTGAAGAGGGTATAGACAAGTTGGTTTCCCGATATGACGAATGTCTGAACAATGGTGGTAACTATGTAGAAAAATAGTTTCCAACATGCTCTTTCATGTAAAAATAAATTTTGTTTTGAAAAAAGATTTTTTATGTGAGTTTTTCCAAAACGGTACTTACTTTCCAGACACGCCTCATACAAAATAAAATCAGTGACCATCGTGTAGAATAGAATAGCATGTTTCTTATTCTTTATTTTGAGTAGAGAGATGAGTTTTATCTAAATAAAAGTATAAAGCAATTTATTTCTGAAGTTTTTAAAATGTTTAAACATTCAAAATTTTATTTTCAGTCGCATACAATTTTGTTACTGCAACCTGGAAAACCAGAAACAAGATCTTACTCTGATTATGAATCTGTAAATGAATGCATGGAAGGTGTGTACAGATTAAATTTCTTACATTTTATCCTAAACTACACATTACTCATATTTAGAATTTAATGAATATTGCTGTTATTTAGCAACATTTGTCTTTTTCAATGTATTTTTACCAATGAGAATAGTTTTTTAAACCATCTTCAAAAAATATCCAGAATTTATTGCATTTTCACTTCATTAAATGATATTTGCAGTTTTTTCCAATCTAGGGAAATGTTATTCATTCAATTTAGTCATTTATAATGGTTGGAAAGCCAATATGAGAAAAATGTTTTGACTCGTGTAACAGTGAAAAGTGCAATAAATGATAAAACATTTAAATTCCTCTTTGTTTGTACAACTAATTATTTTTTAAATATAAAGAACGGCATACATTTCTCATTATATATAATAAATGATCTTACTCTTGTATTGATTATAATTTCTATTGCTATTTTCTAGGTGTGTGTCATATTTATGAGGAACATCTAAAGAGGCAGAACCCCAGCACCGCTTCCATCACTTATGATATTAGTCAGCTCTTTGATTTCATTGATCAGTTAACGGATCTGTCCTGTCTGGTGTAAGTGTGATTGTTGCTTTTTACACGTGACACATTTCGAGCCATTTGATGTACATTTGGTAATTTTTCAGATTTCAAAAATCCACTAACACCTATGCACCTTACAATAAGGATTGGATCAAAGAGAAGATATACATTCTCCTTCGGAGGCAGGCATCCAAGAGTCAGTCTTAAAGTACCAGTTTTATGGGATCGGGACAAACTGTATACATCATCAGAGAAAAACTTCCATTTCCATTTCTTTCGACGGAAGTGTTGTCCGTCGTACGGTAAACGCGAATATATTTGTGAGAGAACGGAAACCAACTTCTGCTGTTTCTTTACGTTCGATTTTGGTTTCTGTTCTGATTTGTCATTGTCACCTTTTAAAATTTTTTTTTATGATTGCTCATAATAGTAACATTTGTCAACTTGTATAAATTTTCATTTAATAAAATTTTTCGAATCACAACTACACTGTTCTTAAAGGAAAACATAGAATTTTCATAATATACTACTAATGGGAAACATGAATTTATGAACATATCCCTTGGATATTTTTCATTTTGTGACTCCAAAGAACAATAATGAGTTTTTCTTAAAATTATATATTTACAATGTATGAAAACAACAAACATTAAATGTGAATAAATGTGCAGTCTTGCTGAAATTAAATGTTACTTATCAAAGTTGTTCTGTGAGTAACTGTGATGTCTTTGTAATTCAAAACCACCATGCACTAAACCTACATCAAAGTTGCTGGGCACTATTAATGTATGTCAATCAACTTCTTTATTTGTGGCAGCTACTTCCCATACAAGAAACAAAGATGAGAATTAGTTCCTGCAAAACATGTTTTCTGAATGGAAATCATGATAATTTTTTATGAGTAAAATTAGATTAAAGATATTTAATTGTCAATCACATTATTAGTTCTTTGTCCAATAGAAAATCTAGACGAGTCAATTGTAAAGAATATGCATTATTGTGTGACGATACCAAAAAAATAGTTACAATTTGCCGGAACAAGGCAAGAAACTCCAAAATTTAATTAAAACTGGACCGTGGAGCCCACTTGAATATCTCATAATTTTATGTCTACTGGAATCTTGGCAATTTTTAATTAGAAAAATTTGTTTCTCAAAAGACCATAAAGGCTCTTCCGGCTTTCAAGAAATGCATCTTTTTAAAATTATTCAGAAAAGTAGACTAGTTTCTTAAAGAGTATTATATATTAATCATGTAAAGGGCTTAAACCTATTGAAATTTGGTGAAATTTTGTATCCAAGTGATTAGTTCCTAAGGGAATTAAACAATTGTTATTTTATAAGACACTTGACATGTAACTACATGATACAGAGAGTTGTAATGATGCCATTGGAATGCAATTGCCAGCATCAAAATGACATTGTCACAAAATTAAATTTTTGGATGACACCAGTGACTTTTTGATACGACTTACCATTTATTTCAAGAAGTTCCTGTTTTTTTCTTCTGTTGGATGTCATTAGACTGCTGTAGTCATAGAAGTAAAAATATAATAGAAAGTAATTAGTAGGGTAGAGCTAGATGCAGAGTACCAGTGTAGCTATGGATAAATATCGAAGAAAACAGCAAGGAAGTATTGGGGTAAATAAAAACTGGAGAAAGTATGGGAAGGGAGGATGAAGAGAGCTAAATTATGATATTTGAAAGAATGGACAGGGCAATAGCAAGGAGGTTTGAGACACCGGGGAGAGAGATGTCATGGAGATTGACTCAACAGAGTATTATATTTTGAAAAATGATCGCAGGAGATTTATTGGAGAAAGATCACAGTGATATAAGGTTTGCCGACAGGTGATCTAAATTGGACTCTGTCAATAAGAACCTTGGTGATGTGGTGCAGTCCAGATTTTGGGCCATTTGATTAATGCTCCCCAAGCAAAACTAACTTTTGCTTGGAAATAAATCACAATTTTCAAAATTTTATTTAAATTTACTGGCAGATAGTCATTTATCCAAAAAATACTGACTGCCATTATTTGGATTCGCGGGAAGTCGTATTACTTTCTTCCCAGAAAAAATGACTCCAAGAAGTCCAATTTAAATATCCAACAATTTTTAATTTGAAAATATAATTTGATAATTATATCCATCACATCAACACACAGTTGGGCCATAGAGTAAGTAATGTACAGAGATAAAATTGGCCAGTAAAGAACTCTGATGATGTTGCATCTCCAAAATTATTAAGTCCGTTTACTTACTTAAGCTGCTTATTGACTAGAAGTACTCAACATATCAATGCAAAATGGCCCCTTATAAGTTTTTAATATAATTTCTTTTTTAATTAATATTTAAATATATTGGCTTTATTACAAATTTTTAGATATGTAGAGTAGATGACCAGGTGGCTACCCCATATCTTATAAAAAGTCTGTTTGAAATTTTTGGTTTAGCCGTTGTTTGGAGATCTTTGAATGCCAGGCGTGCCTGTACAATATAGTCAAACACATTACAGATGATGGTGTTTGAGAAAGGCTGCATTGTTGGGTTGAGAGATGATCATTGCATTTCTTATAAAACAAATCAGGTATTTATGCAATTGTGACTGTGTTTCAACCATCTTTTCCAATAAAAGAATACCAACAATGAATTACGAAATAAATACATAAGTGAAAGTTTTATTTGTGTTGTCATCGTCTTGTGACTTCTCATCTAATTAAACCTTCCCAGAAAGACCAAATTCTATGTGCATGCCATTCCAACCTGACTGTGAGAGTGTTGGGATCACTGGGTACACATAAGACAAGCACAAATAGATGCAACGGTGTCTTTGGCCATTGTCCAGAAACATGTGGAAGCATCACTACAGAACTATCTCTTCTCATACTACTAGTGGGTAACAAACACAGGCAAATTTGCATGCACAGTGACTATAATGGTCACATGCATGTAAATATCCCATTGTTAGCACCTCAACATTATCAGTTTCGTTTGCAGTGACATGTTTTATACACTGACAGTTTATAGCAGTGTATCATCTTTAGCAACAAATGCCAGTTCTGTCTGGAAACAGATGACCACATTGTTAGTGTGTGGAAATACACTGTTGACCATTTCAATTGATTCCCAACAGTAATTATGACAACTGCCTCCATTGTTGCCAGTCTAGAAACCCTTGTATAACAGTCGGTACAAGGTATGTTGATGGCACAGTGGTACATTCAGGAAATCGCATGCCCTCATGTTGTCTTTCATGGCAGGGTTGCAAACAAGAAGTCAGTGTAAAGACAAGAAATTGTTATTAGAAAGTTAACAATTGAACCCTTGCGCAGGAAAACATTGCATCCAACAAATTCGCGAATTTAATTTGATACAAAAGTAAATTCCTTAAGTTGGGCACAACATTCAAAGAAACAAAAATCTGTATTCAAACTTTTAAAAATACAAGTTCAAATATTTTCTGTGTGGAAAAATGTATCAAAACAACGAGCTGGCATCATGGTCATGTGACCGAGTGGGAGTGGGACTGAGACTGGCAATTTGCCAACCAGCTTGTTTCCATTTTGATTTGAACAATTATATATCATTTGACATACTGTATATGTATACACTTTGTTACAGTTACACTGTGCCTTACACAAACCAGAAAGTTTTCTACATTCACAATAGGGCAACACAATCAATATTAGCAGTGCTGATACAAAACATCAAAATGTTAGTAAGAAGAGAACTTCAAATCCTAGCCAGTGGAAAGAGCAGAAAGCTGAATGTCTTTGAGAAGCCAGGGATTCGTATGAGACGTGGGGGCAGCCTGAAAATGATGTAAAAGAAGCCTGAAGAAACAAAAATCTGCAGCCCAGCATGCACGAAGACTGGATGCAATTTGTCGCCTGAAGATAAGAGCATGCAGTTAGAAGATTGATGCACAATGAGGAAACTTGTCTTGCAGCAGCTATACAATGTGTACCCGTTAAATGTCACACTTGATTCTGGTTTGAGTAAAAAGTTTTGACATAAGAAAACATATAACTACCAAGTCAGATTATGAAGCTGTTCCTATCCTGTATGCCAGAAGACACTGTGATATGCATGGTGTTACCTTGAGACAATTGCAGATGGTTCAACAGAAATTTAAGACAGAAGACGATTTTGAAGATTGCAGAGGATAGCACAAAAGTTGTCCTCATGTAACTGAAGCGCAGAAAAAGCCATATGAGAACACAAGAAGTTTTCCTCACATGGAAAATCATTATTTGTGAGAGCGTGGTGATTCAAGAAGAGAATATATGAATCCTGATCTAAGCCCAAATAAAATATATAAGCATTTCCAGGAAATCCAAGATTACGAGGTAAAATATTGATTGTATCATGATATCTTTCACAAGGATTTCAGTCTTAGGTTTGGTCAACCTTGTGTGATAAAGTTGTTTGTTCAGCTTAAAATGATATCCTAAAAAGTTGCAGAGGTGAAGAAACTAGACAAGGAACACCACACCAAAGAGGAGATGAGCTACAAAATGCTCCAAATCGACACAGAAACTGCAAAGAAAAAAATCGAAAGGCATAAAAATTACTTCCGTTACATGGCTTCAAATATTTTCAGATGACTCCACGGTGATCAGAGTGCACAAGAATCGTAATGTCATGCAAACATGGGAGACGTAAACTCTTGCCTTAGTAGAGAAGATGTGCACATGGCATGGATGTATTGTCCAGATTTTAAAATCTAACAAATATTTCTTTGCCTTCTTTGTACGATGGCCCACTGCCCATTAGCGTAGTGAACAAACAAGATGTTTAAAGAAACAACATGCCAAATTCTATAAAGCACTGCAGACTGAGAAACTATTAGGGACCATCCATAAATTATGTCCAGAATTTTCTGGACAATTTTACTCTTCCTCCCCACATTGTCCCAGTTTGTCCAAGATTCTGTAATGCACTGCCCTCTTCAGATGTCCGACAAAACTCAACCCCCCTTAAAACCTTTGTCACTTTATGAACTATAGATACCATAAGTAGAAGCGATGGAATTACCTCCAAATTGCTCTTACATTCTGGTAAGTTATAACAGTGTTTTCCACATTTTGATCACAAAATAAAAGGTTGGCAGAAAGCAATTACGCAGTACTTTAAATACTGAACTTCTGGAAGAATCGCAACACGCACGATTGTCGCATTTTACAATTTGTAACAATACCAACTCTCTTAGACATGATCGCTTCTTTATACACTATCTCTGAAATTCTGGATGAAGATTGAATTCAGATTCATTAGAATCAACATATTTGGCCACTGTCAGATATCGGTCTATTTCCATTGTAGACCAGACTTTGGCAAGGGATTTCCCTGCAAAATCCAAGTTAATTTTCTCCAAATCTACATCAATAGTTTTCCCACTGGAGTCTAATTGATTTCCATAGTGGTGGTGTGGTAAAATAAGACCAGCCAAATGGCTGGTCTTATTTTACCACACCACCACTACTTAGCAAAGCCATTTGGTGTTCCACCCTACTGAATGCGCTTCTGTCAGGGACGTTACAAGCTGCAAACATGGCATCAGAGTTTTTCGGGATGAAGAATCCTACAGCAGATAACTACTTACGTTGGACCAGAATATCAGACAGCTGATCTTTCAAATTTCTGTGCTTTAATATTTTTATCCATGTTTCTTTTTAAAAACTTGTATACTATTAAGTCAAAATCTATTATTTTGTTCTAGGTGTTAGCTTTGAGGAAAGAATAACTTATTGTGACTCATGTTTCCAGATTAATGATCACTGTGGGAGTATCACCCCATTGCCTGAATCTGTTTCCACTTTCACGACCACACGGAAGCCTCAATTGCCCTCATTGACCACGAAGTGCTTGAAATATGAGATGATGTTTCATATGCTCATCAGCACTAATTGACAAAACTATGTCTTGTTTATAAAATTGTACTGCCCAATGTTATTACCAGCATAGAGGTATGAAGGAGTACATGTTGAGAGTTGATATTTGGCACAGAGTATTAGGTGCTCAAATCATTTGCGCATAAAAAAATCCAGACTTGTAGGTAGTCAGGGGACCGAGAACTGAGTCAAAATAAAATACAAAATGGTGACCCTCTTCTACAAACAGGCAAAACAGGCACCTCACCCCACCTAAGTCAGGTAGGGGAGAGTACCACCCACAGTCATTCTAAGAAGTGAACTCTGACCTTAGGACTGAACATGTAGTTTCTTCTATGTAAAATAAAATTTGTAATCTAATTTTGTAAATTTGAGTGTGTTTCAAATATGACATTAAAACAGGGTGTTGTTACAAGTAGGTTTTTTAACATTATCTAGTATAGTAAAATCGTGAAACCGATAAAAATTTGACGTTATATTAGGGTTGTCATTACATTCAATGACATTATAATCAGGTTAAACTGTATATTGTTTGTGCAAAATAAAAAATAATTTTGGACGATACAATAGCCATGATTATTTTTTTCAAAAATGGGAAATTTTCGTTACACGTCGACAAAAATTCAACCCGGGCCGACACGCAACGGAGAGAAATTTCGAAATTGGATAGGTTAATTTCATCGAAAATGCACGGTGGTCAACCTTGTGGTCATGGGCGGCAAAGTTTGAACGATCGCACCCAAAAGCAGTGATACCAAAGAAGATTGGAGAATGAGAACGAGACCCGCCTTGAGCGTCAAAGTGATTCTGCTTAGTAGTGAGTCTCCGAGACATAATCTTGTCCCAAATACATTTTTGCCATTTTACTTATCTTGTTTATTTGGGACCTATTTCATATCATTTTCAATAGGATTTTGCCATGTTTTTAACTATTTATTACATTTATCAAAAACTTTTTGACATATAGCAAAGTTATAAATGTCTCTTCTTTTTATCCCCTTACAATAAATCTATTTTCCATATACTTGTACAACAGTTGTTAAACCATTTCATTAATATTTTATTCGGATAGCCACTCACTTGTTTAATATTAATTATATTGTAGTTTATATAACTGTTAAGTACTTACATTATACTGTATTTTTATTAACTTTTCTTTTTTCGGTTTTTAAATCTATCAAATTGTTTAAAATTAAAAATTAGAGAGATTTCTTCAAGGATATAGCCTAACAGTTAACAGTTATAACGAGGAAATCTTGCAGGTCCCCTAGTGCTTGTTATAATCCAGTTTAACTGTACTCAAATGTAAGATATTAATAGTAAATAAAGAGGTAATGGTAAATCCGCAAACTTTAAACCATCCAGGAATTAAATAGCCCAAATTCCTTAGGATTAAGGTCAACCTACTGAGATTTTGCCAAATTCTACCAAATTTTTAAAGATTAGTACACATATATTACAATATATTGTCAATTTGCTAATAATGTTTAAAAAATGAAAACTCTGTCATACCTTTGCTACCAGCCAAAAACAAGTATTTTGAAAAACATCTCTTCTTAAAAAAAGAAACATACAAATTTTCAAATAATTATAACAAAATGCATAAACTGAATAAAATAAAACAGACATCCAGTGAAGCTCATCTTGTCCCCTCAAAATATTACTGTTTGTGTTTAAAGTAAAATACTGTATTTTTTTTTACTTTTGAATAAAATAAATAATACCCAGAGTCAGATACAACATTTTCCCAGTAATGTTCTCATTTTTCAAAAACATTTTTTAATAAAATTTTCAATCAAAAACATTTCAGGCAGTTTATCTCAATTTATGCTACAAAGATAAAAATCAAGAAAATTTATTTATTTTTAAATTTTACCCCTGCTGTTTATGGAAAAACGTTGTAAGATATGATGCTTTTCCACCATCACAAACATTAATTTCCTTATAACTCAAAAACAAGTTGTTCTTTCTAAGCCATACTTTTATGGTAAAATCACTCCAACATTATCTTTATAATTCAGTGTTTGTTTGGTAATGACGTATGTTATGTGAGCGGAAATCTATTTTTTGCCATTTTCTCGAGACGGCAAAATTACAGATACAACGTTTTCTTGAGCAATGATTCAATTAAGTGATGAAAGTATTGTCTCTGTATGATTCATAAAACTAATAATGACAAGTCTATTACAAATTTTTTTGATAAAAAATAATTAGTTCATTTTTAATCAAATTCAATGTACATACATTTTGTTATTGTTTTTTGCATTGGACAAAGCGATGATAAAAGAATGCAACCGACACAACACGGTGCTCCAAAATGCAAAAACCGTTCTTGATTAATATAAAATAATGCCCTAAGATTCAAAATTCGTTTCTGCTTTCTGCGGTTAAATACATAAATAATTCAACAGAAGCTAACAGAACCGATGCAAAAGGATGATTATTTTACATTTGGGCTTTCTAGGATTTATTAAATTTCGCAATAATGTGGTATTTTCAATTTATATGTAACACACTTTAATTATAATCGGCAAATTAACTACCCTCGTTCTGAATACTAAAAGCAGTGATTCTTCTGATAATCACGTGTTGAAATCAAAGGAAATAAAACGTTAAATGTAATTTTAGACTCATTTTAAAAGCGAAATTGCCATTTAGAGTTTCAAGTTCTTTTGGTTTTCAAGAATTAATTTAACTGGAATTGTTTTTTGGATTTTAATGAATGATTTGTAAAGAATTTATTATTACATAATTGCAGTAATCAATAATCCTTTTGAATAATTAATAAACTTTCCTAACATTCTTAATGGCAATAATGTTTATGTTTAACTTTTGATTTGTTGTACAATGTCACAGAGGTCGTTTCATAATTTTTGGCCAAATGTCGACCGACACCAAAAGCAATGTGAGTCTTTCAAATTGTCTAATTTTAAACCTTTAGAAATTTTCTAATTTTAATAGTATTTATACATTTTAAAATTTACCAAACAGAACAGTATTTTAAACAAATTCAGACAGATTATACATTACTGAAACTGAAATTTAAAGTATGGGAAAACCCTAATAATTCACTTAAAGTGTACCATGAAGGTGCATCGAAAGACCAGAGCACATGACCTCCCTACTTGTCCGACGATGACTTTGACACATGGAGATTGCCCTTTGGGTCCATACTGAAAAGAAGGTCCCACGGATCTGACCAGATTAGATTGTCATGGGCTGCCACCTCCAGGTCTGTTTATGATTGGCAAGCATGGTTCCACCACATTTACCATCCTCCATTCTGCTAGATGTCAAACTTTACATGTGTGCTTCTGGTTTAGCAACACGACTCCAAATTCAAATGATGTTCAAGCATTAACGCTTGATGCCAAGTTATCCACCGAATGGAGTTTGACTCTAAACCAAAAACGTTCTTGTCAACTCCAAAACTACTAGTGACCTAAAATCACCACACTACAATCTGGTTTTTCAATTACCAAGCAATTACTAGGACAGAGGCAGTCTGGTGTTGTACCACTAGACTGCCACCATCCCAGATAATAAATATAATACCTTGACAATTTTTTACTTATGAAATTAATACTCAATGACAGAAAGACAATTTTCTCGTCACTGTCTTTACATATTGTTTGTGAAAATACATTTTCGTAAATTTTTAACTGATACATATTGATTCGTAAATTTTTAACTGATTGTCAAACGAATCACCATAAGTATTAACAGTACCTTTTAAATAAACGAGAGCTTTTATACCAATCAGAACAATAGAAAAGTAAAGAATATTGCACATTTTATCATCAAATTGAATGGCTTCATATCTGCCAATCACTCCCATTAAAAATCAAATAAAATTTCAACTTAGTAACAAGATTTTAATTAGTGTGTGAAAGAACAGTTCATAATTTCGAATTCAGTATTAATAATATAATAAAACTTTTTCCATATTTATTTATATATAAAAGATCCCAATTAGAGTGAAATTTTTTTATTGCATCTTGAGAAATCATCAGTTTTCTTCACGAGAAGAGGGAGAGATACTTTAAGACAAGACTAGTACATGTGTATGCAAGATAATCCAGAAATCATCTTATCGATAAAATCAAACTGTTCTTGCTANTGACTATACATACATATGTAAAACCTATGGCTGTTAACGAATGCATTAGTGCCTTGGGTGGCAAAGAATGAACGTGTCTTGGACAAACCCTCAAAAAATTCTCTGCATCTCCCGTAGTGGTAGGGTGACACCTTACACCTTGACCATCTAAGTGGTAACCTCAAGACATTGTAAACTCTTAGAACTAGAAAATTTGAGAACAATCTAAATTTCTAAGTGTAGTAATAATACCACTCCTAGATGACATTTGTAGGAAATGCCACATCATGCACAAACTACACAACTATAATAACATCAGTGATCTGATACATTAGTAATATCAAACAAGCTCCCGAATTTTTCTCAGGCTATATTAAGGCTAATTATTAATCCAAAACAAAATAACTTGGCAGAGGTAGGTGATTAAATTGACATCTTGTGATAAATTTAATAATTATAAATAAATAAATTTTTTATTTTAATTCAGAATACTCCAGAAGAAAAGAATTGGCCTGTTGGCCTGGAATGGGACTCTAACCCACAACTCCTGCTTACCGTGCAATTGTATTGCCACTTATACTATCAGAGCTATTAATTAATTAATTAATTAATCTGGATAAAACCGTAACTCGTGAAAGGCCAGTTGGTGCCATAAGTGACCATTATGATCATATATAGATTAATTAATTAAGTAATAGTTCTGGAAAAAAAAATTGTATGGAGGTCTGTGCAGTGTAACTGGCAACACAACTGCATAGTAAGCAGGAGTTGTGGGTTTGAATCCCATTCTGGGTTGATTCTTTTCTTCCAGAGTATTCTAAATTAAAATTAAAAATTTATTTATTTATAATTATTAAATTTACCATAAGACAATGACTTAACCATCAATCTCTGGGCAAATTACTTTGTTTTGGGATTATTAATTTGTCTTAATACTGTATAACCCAATGAGAATCCAGTAAATCATTTGATAAACTAAGCAACAAGCTGCATTGAGTTACAAGCTTTTAACACAAATTGACTACTTACATCAACATAACCAAATAGCAATTATATCAAAAATTTGCATACAAACACAAACTATTTGCACCCAGGGATCATATTACAAATGAACACTTCAAATAGTTACAGAAAACAATACACACAAAATATACTATGACCATGCCATAATCATAGACAAAACAATCCATCACAACAGACCACATAACACATTCATCGACAAACAAAAGAAAACTCCCATACATGATTGACATATCGGTTTCAAACACTTACAACGTACAAAATACATAAACCAAAAAATTGTCCACGAAATAAAGCATCTGTGGAAAATGAATGAAATACTTATTGTGCCAATAGTCCTTTCTTGCACGGCTGTCTTGCCACATACACTACACAAAACTATAGAAACATTAGGGCTTGACAACAGCACATAAATAATACTATGAAAGGCTGCTATACTAAACTCACATTGCAAAGTCAGGAAATTCTTAAACATAGATACATGCACAAACTGTAAACAAAATGTTTGGTTTCTTTGATCTGGCATATATTACATGTAGGACACACTCCACCAATACAATAATAATAATGAATTAAATTTAGATTTTGATTATTTATCTTCAATTTATTATAACAAATAATGGCAAAAAAAAAATAAAAATAAAAGTTTTTACCTCTCGATTAGTCTTCCTATAGAGACGAGGAATATCAGAAACTAATTTCAGATGCTGCGAGCACTGCGCCACAATTCCACGTATGACATAGGTGCCTATTTCCGAAGGCATCTTAGCTAATTCTTCTAAGCTGCATTCCAATGCACCTGTTTTGTTTTTAAATACAAATTTGTTTTAAGTAAGTTATTTTGACTTAAATATAACAAGTTAAAGATTTAAAGCAATTACCACGTAAATCATCATTATATTCAGAAATCTTCTCCCAAATTACTTTCTCAAAAAATTCCGTAACCTGAAAAGTTTTAAATTATAAATTTTTAATTTATTCTGAGTGTAATGTCAAAATCAGTTTGGAAGGTTACAATAGAAAAAATTTGAGGAAAATATATAATACAGTAGATGCTGATTAATTGGGCAATCAATTAATTCGAGCAGTTGTTTATTTGGGCCAAAAAGCAGAGAACAGAAACAAATCAGTGTATTTAATGTAAATTTGTGCTGCTTATTTGGGAAAACAACAATTGTAACCAAATGGCAAACTACAGATAGTGTGCCTCTAGTTGTATCGAAATTATGTCAATTATCATAGGCTGCACTGTAGAATGGATTTAAAGTAAAAAATATTCTACAGACAGACATTATTCTTGAATTGCTAGGTGTGAAGGACAGAGTCAAAATTTGAAGAAGTTAGGTTAGGACAGAAACAAAATAATTTTGATTACTGAAAAAATGTGACAAAACAGTTGGAGACTTCAGAAGACCAAGAAACAAACCTGTAATGGCAATGTGCTTAAGAAAGTGATTGGGCAGGAAAGAAATGAAAACAGTCAATTGTCTGCTTTAAACATTTGCACTGATTTTGTCCAGATGCAGCTGATAAAAAGAAGATATCAGAGTAACTTGATTAATTTTTTTCAAAAATTGTAACAAACAAACATTTTATCTTTAATTAATTTATTTTTGAGTAAATGACTATTTTATGCCACAGAAGTGTGTTTCCTTCAGTTTATCGGGATAACATTTGGATAACTGGGTCAAATAATCCATTCCGTCTATTTGCTGACATGACCCAATTAAGCAGAATCTACTGTATATTATGTATTTTGGCTTTTAAACCACATATTTTAACAGTGTGGCTTATAGAACATATCTGACAATTCAGAAATACCATATGAAAAAGTTAGATAATGCTACTACATTCTTCCAAAAATAATAAAAATATTATGTTAGAAAGGACTGATTGCCTTAACCAAGACAGCTAAGGCAACCAGTGAAATGCTCTGGAGTACTCAAAATCAAGTCTGTCAAGCAACTCTGAGAATTTTTTCAAGACAGTCTGTCCTTGTGTCTCATTGTGCAGTCAATATTTGATAAAGTATTTAACATAAAAGTTATAATTAGTACTTCTAAATTTTATCCAATATAATTCTGAGAACTCTGTTTAATTTTATGAAGAGAGAACACAAATAATAATACATCTTCATCAGTACATCAATTTCTGATTAATAATCATCCACATTACTGAATTTTGGGAATATTGTCAAGATACTTTTCAAAAAGTCAAATGGTTTGAAGATGTTGGCTTCAAGGTATATAACCTCTTATTTATAAACCAGTATCAAATTCAGAGAGGCAAATCTACCCTTCACTACTATTTATTGTATATGTTTCTGTTAGGAATTTATACTATCTCTCTTTAACGATAGCAAAAATAACACTGTTCCACTTTCATACCAAGTTTGTCAGATAAGTATTTGAATCATCCTGTTATTGTCATTTCTTTTACTTCTCAAAGTTCATTTTGTCAGTGCTTAAGTCTTTGAATATTGACAGAAATTTACAGAAGCTAAATATCATTGTAAAGATTAATTCTAATACCTCACAAAATTATACCCAATATATTACAAAATCAGATCAAAATAATTACCTTCTTTTGCAAAATTTCGATATCATTAACAAGCGTAACAAAATCCACAACAGATGGTAGCTCCATATTCTGTGACTCCGAACTGCTGTTTGTATATTTATCAGAACTGTGTTGAATCGAATTGTCAATCAACATAACGTCTTGCACTGGCTAAAAATAATTTTACAAGATTTAAAAATATACTGGTTAGTTTCATCACTAATTTAAAATATAATCTACTCTTATACAATATTAATCTGATAACATGATCTCAAATGACATTATACATAAATATCACTGTACTTTTGTATGATTCATTTAATACACTTTAAAATGTTTAAAATTGTTTTAAAAAAGTTAGTTAAAATTTATGGTAATGAATTAGAGAATATAAATATTTGCATTAAATGATTTTCTTTAACTTTATAAATGTTGATATGAATTTATAAATACATGTGAGACCCAAACCCACACAATTATTATTTTTATTTCCTTTCTTGTAAGAGATATTGTTGTAAAATATTTTTTGTTTAAATGGCATAAAAAAGAGAAAATAAATTTGTTGTTAAAAGGGTGAGTTAAATGATAGGAGGGGAGAAAATGAAAACAAGAGATTTCTACTTATGTAAGGAGAACAAAAGGGAGAGAGTTTTACTGCATCAAATTACAGAGTGAAACCTTTTAGTGATCGCTGCATCCTTCCCAAATGGGGAAAAAACACATCTTTCCTCTAATTACAAGCTAGCATTCCAAGGATATCATAATTAAACACTTTGGGAGACTTGGGCCAGGAAACCGTCTCCACAAGACCCAAATTCAGACCTAGCAACAGAACAGGGATCAATTGGGAGAGGAGAGAGAGAGAGAGAGAGAGAAGATTGTAACCAATGAGAATACGAATTTCAAAGAAAATATATAAAAGCTCTTGTTCCCAAGAACATGAGGTTCTTTTCCATGGTTCAACCCTGGTGAGAGATGCATGCAGTCTTCTTCCCTTTGAGAGATTGATCACTGGAAAGTACTGTCATTGAGAAAAGCCAACAAAGTAACCCGACTTCCTCAATCTTCTTCATCCTTCCTTCAGCAGCACCAGAGAAAGTGCAGATATCCTTTCTGCAAGATTGCTATCTTCTAATACCGGTCTCCCACGATTTAAGTTTTGACTTTTTCTCCCAAACTGTCTTAAAGTGATTGTTGGATATACTGTAAGCATATTTTATTACAATAAACACAAAGTAAATATTTAAAATCTTGGCAACTGTATTTATTTTTTTTATAAAATATAAAAACTTCACAAATATCTTCATATTTAAATATTTACTTCATTTAATGTATTTTATTGTGAATTTGGTTAATTTACCAGAGGACGCTGTTTCCATTTACATGTTGCAGGGCCGTAACCTCAAAGAAAATGTCATCTCTGCATATAAGAATTCTGTTTTAGACTGTCACTGGAGTAAAAGACAGAAAGAAAGCAAAGATATTTGCAAAGTTTTTATATTTTATAAAAAAAACAATAAACATGATTCTAATTTGTAAATGGTGTAAGTCTGTCTGCCACCACTACCCTCATACAGCTCCATCCTCATATGTCATCCTGACAGAAATGTGAGAGCAGCGAGTGAGAGTGTTTTAAGGTAGAGGTGTTTTTCCAATGAAGCCTCAGTATTTGATCACATTCACACTATTAATTATACATTTCTCTTTCAAAACATTTTGATCTAATTGATGATTCCTCTCTTTTATTTCAGTATTCAAGAACAGAAAAGTAAAGGGAGCAAGATAAATAAGGCAGATTTAGGTTTAATCATTTTATGCACTTAAAAGTTAAGATTCAACATTAAAACAAGCAACAGAAATTAAGTATTTTTGTCTATTTATAGTATATTTGGTTCACCATCAAAATACATTCAAATTAAAAAAAATCATCAGCTCAGATAATTAAATAATTCTTGTACCTTTTCTAATATAGTCGTAATCCATTTAGTGTAACGAGACAATATCTGTAATGTAAACTTCCAGAATTTATAACTCAAAGATGGTAAATATATGTCAGGTGACCAGCACTTCTGTATGCTAACCCAGCAGGAAGAACTGATGCGAAAATTAAATGGCAAATTTTCTGCAATAATATAAAAATGAATTACTTCAAAATAATTTTGAATTAATTTAACCAGAATAAAATTATTTCTTGAATAAAAACCTTTGGTTTGTAAAAATGGCAAAAGTAATGCTTCTTCAAAAGCACCTCCAATTTCTTGAAATCTACATACAAAAGATTAATTTACATTAAAAGTTTTTTATTTATTTATAATAATAAACATTACACAATTAACATTTGATAAATATATTCAGTTTATAACTATACTAGCAGACCCCCCCGCCACGCATTGTTGTGGCTCAAAATATATCTATTATAAATGTATAACACTTCCCCCGTGGGGGGGAAATTTTTCAAAAAATTTCTTCTTAGTGTACATTCTGTTGACGTACCCTATTAAAACGCAATCAAAAACGCAAAAAACCACATCTAAAATAGTATGAATAGAAGCAGAGTTCCTTACGGTAAGCCTTAATCCTAACCATCTCCCTTCAGTGGGGTTGAATTTCGACATGTATATTATATTTATATAAAAACACGTGCATATTCGAATGCAGCGATGTGTCAAAATTTCAAAGGAATCGTAGGAACAAACGAACATTACATTACGAACATTAAATCGTAGGAACGAACGAACATAGAAAAGCATAATGCTTCACAGAAAAGCAAACTTAGGGCGTCGTACTCGTAGCGCCATCTGTTGGACATAAAAGCCTTAACCTAGATTATATCTTTTAATTTATATGAATGTTTAACGGGATAATATACAGCCTATGTCCACCCTGAGGTTCCATTCTAAATAATGGTGAAAGAATTTTTGAAATCGGATGAGTAGTTTCGGAGATTACCTGCTGCAAACAAACTTACATACATACTTACAAACATTACCTCTTTATAATATTAGTATAGATTATGAATAAGTAATTCATTACTTATATGAGTAAAATTAAATAAATAATTTTGGAATCTTAAGAAAATACATTCTTAATAAAAATAAAAATTAAAATATTATTTTTGTAATTAAATATATTACAAATATTACAGAAGTATAATAAGCATGTATAATACTGTAGTCCTCAATGAGAAAAAACCACAGATGTGTTTTTCATTAATTACATTCATTCAAAGAGATATCACAATTTAAAGGAGCCTTATTTTGTTTGCCTTATACCATTACATGTTTTGGTCATTATAAATGGCCCTCCTCAGATGTGTATTGAAGACCTCACTAAATGTGCATTTATTTATTGTGACATCAATGCCAGGCTGCAATTTTTAATAATCATTTAATTTTTAAAAACATCCCATGACTTCAGTTCTGGACTAGAAGTTCATATCATATTTTGATGAGTATAAGTCGCTGTCAAGTATAAGACGCACCCTTATTTTGAGACAAAAAATTTAGCAAAATCTTTTTTAATGGGATTGTCTAAAGATGCATTTTATTCGTTTTTTTTTTATTCAAGAATATGACAGATGGATGAATCGATACCTTTATTAAACTGAAATAATTGCCATTTCTTAATGTAAACTCAGAGGTCACATGATGACAGTCGACAGAACATGGCGGCGATGACTCACGTGTCGCTACTCTGATAATCGAAGTACTCTAGCCATTCGATTGAGGGACAATCTGCTTAACGGACCACTGCACAGGTTGGTCCCTAGAGTGGGCCACTATTGTAGATAATTTCACTGTAAAAATGGTTACCTGTCGAGTATAAGATACACCATGATTTTGAGCCTCAAAAAGTAGTAAAAAAAGTGTGATTTATACTCGTCAAAATACGGTATATACTTAATTGAGGTCTCCAGTCTCTATTTTAGTGGTGTCTTGCTCTTGTACATCATATTTCTCCTGATAACAATCAAGTCATGCCAGACTTGATTGTTTTCTTGAACTCTGTACTCAAGAAAATTTTGGAATTGAAATAATTTGACTTCTGGTTAGAGTTCCAGTGTATACAGTAGTTAATCAGGGCTTCCAGCCCCTAAGCTTTCCATATCTGGTTTCAATTTTCATTTATCTAACTCTGTTTCAAAATTAATGAAGGACAAGCAGACAGATGACAGTGGAAATGTATAGGTCTGTAATTTGACAATTGTAGCCCAATAACATCAAGTACAAAAACTGAACTTATGATGATTTAAAATTAATTAATGTGGCAAACAGATTACTTTTGAAATTAATCTAAAAGCAGATATCAAATAAAATATATACTGTAAATCAAATAACAATTATTTCATTATTAAGATAACTTTTCTATCAAACACATTAACAAAAAATACTGTATTAAATTTAAAATAAAACAATACCTAATTTGGAAGTAAACCAGTAAATTCCATTTCTCCATAAAGGACTTATAACTCGGATACTGTCTGAGATTTCGTATGCTCGTATGAGATGAACACGTTCTTTCGAAATCTTCTAAGAAAGTTAAAGTAATTGAATAATGTTGATGAAATAAATTCGGATTACCAGGCGCAAATATGGAAGGAGTAAGATGAATCAACTGCGATGCTATTTCTGGCCATATTACATTCCCAACAAAATCGTATCCCTTCAACAAATTTGTCCTGTTGGGTAGATGCACGGTATGAATCAATTTCAATTAATTAAGTTCAATATAAATGATAATTAAGTTACTAACCTTTTTGTTTTTGTTGTTACTTCAAAAATAATTTTACATTTGTTTATTAAAAAATCCAATATTTCTTTATACAAGCTGTTCAAGCCATTCTGCTGTAGATTCTTCTCTGTAATAATCTGTAATTAATAAAATTTACTACAATAAATATATTAATAAAAATGAGCATTACATTATTTGGTCAATCCAAATAATCTCATGTGATCTGACGTTTATGGGACCGGAATAATGTTGGATTGCTGGATTATTGGAAGAAAGTTGAATTTAATGGTTTAATTATATGGAAAGAAAGCACATGTTTATTTGCATATTAGTATATTGCATTAATTATTATATTAGTACAGCTGTCCCTTGATAATCCAACAGGTATAGGACCAAAGGGGTGTTGGACTACCAAAAGTGATTACATATTTGGCATTGTTTTGCTAGCAGTAGCCTACAATATTCCCTACTCCAACTGTTCAAACAGAACTGCTCATGGAAAACACACAAAATGTGTGTCATTGTGTAAGAACTGGGTGGAGAGATTCACGTCGCGACATGCTTCTGTGCAAGCAGACATGTAACAGGGATGGGTACCTTGACGGGAGGAGCATTGGACTACTGAGCAAGCCAGATTACAAAATGTCAGACTATCAAGGGACAGCTGTATATTGTATTAATAAAAACATATGAAAATAGTAAGTAAATATGAAAGAACAATCGTATGTTACTGTATTTCACAGTTATGATATCAATCATCAATCCTTTTAAAATCATTTTCTTTTACTGTTTTGTCATCCAAGTGTGCTACCATTGCTGATAATCAATGTTAACAAGTTGATGAATTCCCACTAAATTCAAGGGAAAATTGAAGTGGTCACGGAAAATTTAGTTGAAGGTACAGTATTTTTGGTGGAAAATTTTAAAGGATGACTTTTATATTTATACAGTATTCTGTTATAGGATGCTGTACTTTTTTGAGCAGCCTAACAAGCTTTAATATTGTGTCCAAGTTAGAGTGTTTAAGCTCAAACTTTATATAATATCACATTTAGTGAAAACATGTTGAAGTTAGTGGGAATTGGAGTTTGAACTAACGGAAAGCTGGTAACATCCAAGAGGCAACTAGTGTTGGATTACTGGGCACAGTGAACTAGCAAATGGCCAGATTACAGAGATTTGACTGTATAATAAAAATTATAAACTTTTTAAAAAGTTTCCTATGACTTTAAAAACAATCTAAAAGTATGAAAAAAATTAAAGTAAATGATTCAGCATTAAAATTGAATATAACATACAAAAGAGACATAAAAACTGCCTAATGGGATTGTCTAAAGATGCATTTTATTCGTTT